TGGAATGTGATAAATCTAAAGAAATATTTATTTTTGAGTATTATCTCCCTATGTGTTTGCCAACGACAAGGATAAAGGGTAAGGCCCTGGGGACAGAGTTCAAGAACTCCTGCCCCCGAAGCAAACACAGGAGCAAGCCTCCTGGAAGGGCAAGGCCCTGGGGGCAGAGTTCAAGGACTCCTGCCCCCGAAACAAACACAAGAGCAAGCCTCCTAGAAGGGCAAGGCCCTGGGGACAGAGTTCGAGAACTCCTGCCTCCGAAGCAAACACAAGAGCAAGCCTCTTGAATGAGCAAGGCCCTGAATACAGTTCAAAAAAACAAAAAGGTGTGTACGCAAGAAAGTATAAGTACTCGAGCTTTATTTCAAAAAAAAGGACTTTGCGTNTTCCATTGTCGGCGGAAGGGGAGGAGGAGTCTGCTGTTGCCGCTGCTGCTGTTGTTGTTGCTGAGGAACAGGGGGCAACCCACGACCTCTCCCACTTTGATACTGAGCAGAGGGGGCCCTGGATCCCCTGCCAAGGCCATCGTGCCTATGTTTGATCCTCTTCTCCTCCTCTACCTGAGGATCCCGATCACGCACTTGACCCCGACTGACGACTCTTGAGGATGGGGTGGCGCTGGTCCCTGCAGATGGGGCCCCACCGGTCGATCCTCGTCCCTTCCCGGCAGCGAGGGCTTGCCTCTGCCTTAGGAACCCTAGATCAATGCGGGGCGTGCTGGACATAGCTACCTCGAGGGCGTCCTCGGCGTCTAGAGATTGTAGGATTTGGAAGTCTGGTCACGAATCTCTCCCCGAAGTCCCCACCTCGGTGTGCGAAGGAACCAAGTCCTCTCTGACCCCGAGCTCTTCAACTATACCCTCTACTTCTACCTCCGAGGCCCGGTCAGGGTCTTCTTCCAAGTTCTCCTCGACTTCTTGCCCCATCGCCTGATCGAAGAGTTCAGACCACCGCGAAGACTCGAAAGGCTGGGGAAGCTATGAAAACTTCTTATATCCGGGAGTATAATTCAGGAGGATGTGGGCAGCCCGGCCGAGCCTGTCGTTACCAATGAATCTCCAAACGGTGACTAGGTCCGCAAAGTTCACCAACGACCGGGGTGGAAGAGCTGTTTCCCGAGGGGAGATGTCTGCACAAGCAAAAATAGGGGAGTGGGTCATGAGCACGTTGAAAATCTCAGAAACAAAATAATAGACCCGAAGAAATCGACGTACTTGTTGTTCTCCATTCCAAAGGGCATAACAAGCCGTCATACTCGGGACCGACACCTCTCTGCCAAGATCCCTTGAAGATGAGTAGGTCATCCTTGTACCCCTTGTCCGAGTCAGGAAGGTGGGTAACGAGGTACATAGATGGGTCCCTGGCTTTGAGGTAGAAGTGTTGTTGAGGCGTAACTCTCAAGAGGGAATAACAAAAAAAGATATCGTTTAGCCCGACGTTTACCCCAAGACGCCTATTGAGTTCTAGGACCCTTATAATTATCCTAAAGACATTAAGGCAACACTGCCCGGGAAAGAGGCGAAAATGAGAGAAGAACTGGAGAAGCAGAGGGGGCAAAGGGAACCTAATTCCACCTTCTATGATGGCTTTGATAAAAAAAGGCATTGCGTATTCGGTACCGAGGGTACGAGAATGCACAGCAGGGTCATAATCCTCCATGTCTACATTCGGGGGAACGTTGTACTTAACCCTAAACCTATCAATTTGTTCACCACCTTTTACTTTATACTTCCCTGGTCTCGAAGTACTAGCCTGAGGGTTCTCGGGGGTAGGGCAACGACGAGGCATCTTCAAAAAGTGATAAAAAATAGAGGGGGTCTTTTCCACGAAAGTCCCCAAGAAGGCTTCCCGGGGATTAGTCGCTGAAGGGCAACCAGAAAACACCTCCGGTGATCGAAAAACCAAAAGAGACAGAAGGGCAAAGAAAGGGAAGATACTGAGACTCACCAGAGTATAAAAAGAGGTTTTTTCTGGAAAACTTGAATCGACTCCTTCCAAGAATATTCAGAGCAAGGATGGGTCTGCTGGCTGTAAAGCTTCAGTGAAAAGGTTGGGCGGTTGACAAACGGAAAAAAGAGGTCTCCGACGAAGATTCAGACAAGGGTTCTCTATGAAGAAAAGTTCAAAACGATGAAATGAGAAAAGAAGAGAGGAAACCCCTTTATATATAGCACCTATCCCATCATTGGGCGCAGAGCACAAAACGGCGCATTTAATGCGCACGACATCCTAAGCAGGGAAAACGGCTAGGGGCAATGATGAAGCAGTTGGGGTTGTTGCAAAACCCTTCATCTCCTTACAACGCGTGTCCTCGGTGTCAGAAGATCGAAAGCTGGGGGGTAGTTGATGGGACATTTTCGGAATACTCCAAGATGAAGATACATGTCCTCGGTGTCACTGATCCTTGTTATCGAGATCACGTACCCATCGGGTCACAAGTCCCCTCTCCCCCCGAGGTGCTGATCATAGAGATCAAGTGGCATCCCAATACTTTTTATGTACCGACACGTACCCTCGGTTTGATATGGTTCATCGGTCGTTAGGCTCTTTCCCTCGNATGAAGATACATGTCCTCGGTGTCACTGATCCTTGTTATCGAGATCACGTACCCATCGGGTCACAAGTCCCCTCTCCCCCCGAGGTGCTGATCATAGAGATCAAGTGGCATCCCAATACTTTTTATGTACTGACACGTACCCTCGGTTTGATATGGTTCATCGGTCGTTAGGCTCTTTCCCTCGGCTCCGAGATGTACCTCTTCCTCGGTACCGAGATGTACCCAAACGTCCAGGATGTCGTTCTCTGCTCCAGCAAAGGCTATTGATGTATAGGTCACTAGCCTAGGCTATGCTAGCTATCATGATCTCGTCTTACACAATTGGTGTCAGAAGGCACAGGAAGGCAGGGGCCACAGCCAGAGGGAATGGACGCGTGACATATTGTGTCACATCCGAGACAGAAAGACCGCATGCCTTGCTGACACACGACTTGAGAAAGCAAACATTTAATTACGTCATTCCCTTGATGAAACTGCATTCAATGCGGTAAGGCTCGGAATTGAAAGGCAATAAATGCCTCTAAGGCTGGGCATTTATTGCGTCATCCCCGAAGGGAGCTCACTGAACAGTCGGCAACCCGATGACACAGTATTGATTGCTCGGGATCCCGAGCAGTTAAAAGAGAAGGCATTCCTCATCAGAATCAGTGTGCACACTGCCTGTACCTAATGATCACCTACTGACTACACTGACAGCAATCATGAGATTTTGAGGTATAAATACTCCTCGCAAAAGGCAAGATGGTATGTAACAAAAAACCTTTGCTACAATATATACTCAGTGTTTTCTTCTTCCTCTCTCTCTCAAAGACTGACTTGATCGTCAGAGGGGATACGCCGGAAAACACTCCGGCGCCCTTCTAACTTGTTCTTCTTTGTTCCAGGAACCTTTCTTCAGCCTTACTGGATCGTTCCTTTGATCCATGAGGGTCTCCCATTACCGTTCCAGGTTACCACAGGATCTCACAGGTTGTTCCAAGCAGCGTGGTTGACCATTCCACCGATTCACTCGAGTTCACCAAAGGAGAGATCTGTTCTTGTTTTTATATTGTGCAAGATCCAGCACGCACAATAACCACTCTAGAGAGTTTTCTTGGCTAGTATATTGTTCACTGCAACATCAAGACTTTTCCTTCCTCCAACCATCTCAAGCAATAACATTCCGAAGCTATAAACATCCGACTTATGTGAAACTTTCCCGATATGTCTTGATAACACTTCAGGCGCTATGTAACCCATTGTTCCCCTCGCAGCAGTTATAAAAACATCATTTCGTTCTTTTGAACACAACTTGGCCAAACCAAAATTAGAGATCTTAGGATTGAAGTTGTGGTATAACAAGATATTATGGGGTTTAATATCAAAATGCAAGATTCTTTGGTCGCACCCTTGGTGAAGATATTCAATCCCGTTGGCTATGCCTAAAGCAATGTCTTGAAGCTTCTTCCAACCAAGAGTTATATTTTTAGAGCTTGTTGAAGATATGAACTTTTCCAGTGAATCATTCGAAAGGAACTCATATACAAGAGCTTTTCTAAATCCATCGGCACAAAAACCCAACCAAACGAACCACATTGACATGGTGAATTCTCCCAATGGTTCCAACTTCATTGATGAAATCGTCCCCATTTCCCATTGAACTGTTGAGAACTTTCACGGCAACAAAAATGTCATCAGAAAGCCTTCCTTTGTAAACGGTTCTGTAACCTCCTTCACCCAATATATCACTAAAATGATTTGTAATCCTTTTGATATCAGCATAAGAGTATCCTGTGGGCTAAAGAGCTCTATAATCCTCCAAAAATTTTTCAATTTTCACTTCATTCTCTTTTTTCATTTTAATTGATCTATAGATATGATAGAGTACAGGAACTGCTACAAGAAGAAAGCAACCTAAAATTAGACCTGAACATAAAACATAATAAGTTCAGAAAGCTTGTATTTCTAATAGATTCCTAGAATTACACCTAAAGGGAAAACCAATAGGCCAATATTAATTTTTTCCCAAACTAATTTAAAATTTTCACTTTATCCTTTTAAAGACTAAAAGTATCACATTGCACTTTGAATTTTTTTTAAATGGAAACAATGTGTCCCTTATCTCCCAATGTAGGGCATAATTTTGTGGAAAAAAAGGGGATACAAGTATAATGCTACCAAGAAATTCAACATGTAATATGACATTTATAATCCTTTTCAAGATAAAGTGAAAATTGTAAAATTACTTAGAAAACAAAGTGTCATTCACCCCCAAAAACAAAAGACAACATCACCTGCCCACAATTGTTTCTTAAATGCATGACCTGTAAAGAATAAAAACATTGTTAGCTTCTTATGCTTATGAAAATAACAATACCCGGAAAAACCTAACAACATTAGTTAATAGCAATCACCGCACTCCAGGATTCTTCATGCCAAGGTCCACACTGATAATTAAAATTTTCAACAACTTCATCACTTTATAGCTCCACCCACAGCTATATTTTTTAATCTTGTTTACAGGAGCCTCCTCTGACATACTTTAAAATTTCTCATTAAAGATCACATTGATAACATATACAGTAAATCCAGATTGGTTTAGTGGTAGAACATGGAGTAAGATGTGAGTTTGTCCATTTTGAGTTTAAGTCTCAATAATTAACATGGTTTTATCCGATGTGCGTGTGATTATGTGTATCCAAGTTTGTTTTTCAACTATGAGGCTCAAAAACATTTGGTTGAAACAATTCACATCACAAGGAAAAAAAAAAAAAACCTGCAATAGTTAATAGTGCAAATGTCAAATTGCTGTTGGGTTTTTCAGGTTTTTATTTGAGCAGCCAGTGGTAACTCATAATTCTGCTCCTTCTTTGACGTTTCCTATCTGAAGTGTGAACTGAAGTTAAAGCAAAACATGGAATAAATAAAGTACCTTTGAGTGTCTTGGATTTGGCAACACATTCAGTTTCATATTCTGTGGTATCATTCTTCAATCTACAAATCTTGCCTTCAGCTTCACAGAGGCTGCAATTTGGTTTCGACCAACTCAACTGAAGCTTACCTCCTTGGTGAAATATATTATAGGGCACCGATTCTTCTAAGTTATGAATGTTGCTGTAAGATGTCAAAGGAAAATCATCAACGTTGTTCCAAGACAATATGGCATACACTTGGTAGGCGGAAGCTCGAAGGCAAGGAACCGAGAGAAACATTTGTTTGAATGGTACAGAATCAAACATTTGTCTGTCTGGTGCAGAACAATTGAAGAACGAGAAATTATATGAGTCTATTTCATTGAACTGGAAAGGGGAAGCAGACAAGTTGAGGTATGGAAGCTTTGACGGAACGCAGCCATCTGGGTCATACAATCGAATAACTCGAGATTTATAGCCAATTTTCTTGACAAATAGCTTCACAGAAAAGGGAAGATCAAGGACTGTTTGCTTGTTCTTATCACAGGATAGCCCGAACCCAGGAGAGCGGTAGCGATCTGGGTGGAAAGCTTTAACCCAGAATGGGAATCCGATTGATGGCCCATTGTAACCGCACCTGAAATTGAATACCCTGCGCTCACCTTCTTGAG